GCCCATCTCAGGGCATGATCATCACGGCTTCCCAGTCCCCTCACACCTGGAGCAGCCTGTCACACCTGGACAGCCCATCTCAGGGCATGATCATCGCACCCTCCTAGTATCTACAGCACACATTACCAGACTGCCTCCTCCAGCGATTTAAGCAGCAGCTGGAACAGCGACTTGCAAAACTCGGAAGCATCACTTTTTTCCAGTGAAGCAAGGCGGGTCCAGACAGACTAAAGTGAGAGGGACTTCGTACTTTCTTCCAGCTGTACAAGCACTACAGTTCCGACAATATACAGCCATCAGTGCAATACCTGTACAGGGCTCTCTGTAGAACGCAAACCACTCTTTCAAGAACTGTGCTCATAGTACATCTGCTCAATTTGGGGATTTTGTCCACAGGAAGAGAAGCCAGTCTGTGGCTATTCCATGCAGTAGAGGGAACAGGTTCATTCCAGGCTGAAAGGTAGAGAAACAGTCTCATCTGTGGAGCCTCCTTCAGGTGTGACAGGTGTTCCTCTTCCTTCCAGGATGGAAACGGACCAGTACCTGCTTCTTTGCAGCCTGCGCCTGCTGACACGGCTCCCTTCTCAAACCTATTCTGTTCAGCAGGTCTACAATGCTATAAATCAGACTTCCACAAAAAACAATACTCTGGGCACCCAGATGAGAGGCATCATTACCTAGAGAGGCCCAAGGATGCTGTTCTGAAAAGAACATTTTAATATATATATACACACACACACACCATGCTTTGAGCCTACACGATGGGAAAGTGACCCCACTGGCCAGCCAGCGCGGACAGGACGGACTGTCCGTCTCTGGGGCAGCTTGAGCACACAAACGCCGACACGGGCCTGCGCGGAGACCGACGCGGCCGGGTATCAACCATCACCAACACCGCTGTCCCTCCACACTCATTATAGCCTGTCGTCTTCCCCGCATGAATTATTAAACGGCTACAGTGTCGCGAAAAACAAAGAATAATAAGCCTGTCAGCGCCGTTAGAGGCGGGCGGGAGACAGGCCTAGGCTACATGCTTCAATGTCGCCCGTTTCCACCGATCCCAAGTAAGGCTGCTCCTCGCAGGCAGGGAAATGAGACGCCGAGAAGGCAGTGGTACCTCTGCGCTGAAGAATTAGGCAACAATAACAGGCGGAGACGGCACGGTGTCTGAGAGACACCGCCGCAGAGCCGTCGGAGGCAGATTTGTTTACCATTCCGTCCTGCTCGTTTACCAACAAGCGCTAATGGCCGTGAGACAATACCGGCCGGAACGGCTCGGCCCGACAGCGCAGACCGGGCCGTGTAACAACACACGGGATAGAGACATCGACCCCGAAACCCTCCACCAGAACCACATGAAAAACACCACCGTCGCGCCAGCAGCGCAGAGCCGGGAGGAAGAGGAGGAGGAGGAGGAGGAAGGAGTCTCTGCAGCATCCATCCATCCCTCCGTCTGTCCTCGCGGACCCGCACCCCCGCGAGCCGCCGAGGAGGAAGAGCACGGTCCGCGCGGCCGGGCTGCCATAGATACCGCGAGTGCGGGAGGAGGAGGAGGAGGAGGAGGGGGGGAGACACAACAACAGAATGGCCACGGCGAGCGGGGCTGTGCAAACACGCAGTAGTAGGCCAGAGCCGGAGGAACTCCTCCTCCTCCTCCTCCTCTCCCGGCTCTCCCGACCCCCGCGGCCGCAGCATCCCGGAGTCGCCGCTGCTCCCTCTCCGGCCGACGCGCTCCTCCGCGGCGGACCAGCCCCGCACTCGGGCACAGGCAGCGCTCGACCGGCGGAGCGCTGCCGCACACCCTCACCCTCCTCATCACCCTCACCGACACCGGGACCATTCATTACCTGACTGGCGGTGATGGGGAGACCTACGGGTGCAGCCCTGCGGCAGCCTCCCCTGCGCCGAGCCGCCCGTCACGCACAGTCGAGCAGAAGGAGCCGCGTCGACGCGCCGCTACCCGCCTCGGGAAGACGAGGAGACGAGCGATAGCGTGGAAATAACGGCAGGAACACGAGCGGCGGCAGCTCCTCCCAGCCCCGGGCTCTGCCGCTCCGCGTCTGCTGCTGCTGCTGCTGTTGTTGACTTTCAGGAAAACTCGTGACGTCACGCCCCGCGACGGCTCGCCGGGCGGCTTTCCTCTGCCTCTCCGCCTCTGCTCCGTCTGCAGCGCGCCCGGCTCGCTCGGGCCCCCAGCCTCTCCCCCACCCCCGCACACACACACACACGCACACGCGCGGCCCCCCCTTCCTCCCCCGTCTTACACTCGCGAGAGCCCGCCGCGGCCGGCTGCTCGGGGAGCGCGGACGCGCGAGCCCTGGGGATGCACCGGGATGCTCGGGAAGAGGCGGATAAGGGAGCGCCCTCCCGTCACGCTCCTCCTCACGCCTCCCTACCCGGGACCGGGGAGCCAGCGCTCCCGTGTCTGTCCGGTCCACGGGGCTGCAGTTCAGGACCCGGCTGAGCTACTCTGTGCCAGCGACAGTGCTGGAGCTCTGCCTGTGAAGGAGCCAGCGTGCCAACAGGTGAAACGGGAAAACAAACCCAAGAAAGCACTGCTCAGGCTGAAATGCAGCCTTGTGACGGCAGCAGCTTCAGCACTGGTGAAAGCCTTGATGTGGGGCTAAATGTAAGTCAAGATGCCCTTGGGAAAAGTGGTGTGTTTGGAAGTCGAGAGGAAGCTGTGATGATTCTAGCAGTCTCGGCAGGGTCCTGGGAGATGGCAGCCCGTGTTCAGCGGAGTGAAGAGCAGCACCCCTGCTCCAATACCTGAGCCACGCAGTGGTCCTGTTTACAGACCCCCCCAGAAGACCTACCTGAAGGAGCCGCAGAAGATGACCTCAGGTGCTTGTCGGCTGGGGAACCAGCTGCAAAAACTGCCAGCAGCCGAGAGGACGAAAGAAGCCCCCCGAGTCAGGACACACAGCAGTCACGGGGCTGGAATGGCCTTTTAAGATAAGATAAGATCACTTTATTGACCCTATACAATCTCTTGCATTAGGAATTTGTCTTTTCACAGACCCCAGCTTGCTCTCCATGAGACACACAGACAGGGAGAGAGAAGCTGGGGGTCAGAGCGCAGGGTCAGCCATTTATACAGCGCCCCTGGAGCAGCTGGGGTGAAGGGCCTTGCTCAGGGGCCCCACGGAGTAGGATTCCTCTGGCAACTGTGGGATTTGAACCGGCAACCTTCCGGCCACAGGCGCAGATCCTGAGCCACAGAGCCACTGCTCTGCCCCTTTTACAGTGGAACATGCGTATTTAACTCCTCTTCACAGCGTGCTGCTTCAGAAACTAGTAGGTCAAAATCAGCAACTCCGTTTCCAGTTTGTCTAGGGGAATGGTGTCCTGTATCGATGAGGGAAATTCTGGAAACGGATGACGGGCCGGCTGCCCTGGCTCGTTCTGAATCTTGCCTGTTTGGGCAGAGAACTTACACCAGACAGAAGGACAACACCTAATCCGCACAGCTACAGTACAATTTTATTTGGTTTTATTTTGTAGCAAAACATGAGTTAGAACTGTTTGAACGTCTTTAGCACAAAAAAGAAAAGACCACTTAATTGCCAACATCAAGCATAAAAGAAGACTGAATGTAAAAGCAGTATAGGGAAAAAATAGCAGATAAAAACAGTTTACTTTAATCATGTGCATGAAGAGTGAGTGACTACAGTATGTGATTAATTTAAAAAGTACATTTCTAAGGAAACTGATTCATTTAAAAAGTGCATTTCTAATGAAATATTTAAAATAAATAACAAGCTCTGCTATTGTGTTAAGACAGCAGCTTGTGACAAATTAGCATCAACAGCCCCGTGGCTATGTTCTTTCCCTTTTAGAGAAGAGGCTTCATCCCTTATGTGAGTGATGGTTCTAAATTAAAGAATAACCTAAACAAATATTAAAATAGTAATAGCCTTACTCTTCTAATGGTGAATCTCAAGTCAATATTATGCTTCTTGTCACTCTCACAAACTTGTGCTCTCAAGCACCATGTTGTTGTTGAGGCCATAGTTCATCTCTAGCCTCTCTGCCTTACTCTGAAGTTGAATGAACACACATGACCAATAATGATTTATTATACTCCCCTGTTTGAGCAGCAGCCAAAAGCAACAGTGGAACTTGTATTACTGAACCCTTTTCTTGAAGATGAGAAAATGATCCATCACACCCTCTCCCCTCCAACACCCTTCTTATATCATTCACAAACAGCACTTTACTGCTGATGTTTTTGGAGTTACATTTGACTAAAGACAAAATATGAAGCAGTGATTTCATCCTGGGTCCTGCTTTCTACAGGCTGCCTCACTATGACTCGACCTGAGGTTGCAGTAAGAAAAAGAAAACAAGGAAAAAGCTGATGTGGTGGATCCGAACACAGAGAATGCCTCTGATTTAATCAGTCTATTTTTATTCCTGCAAAAACCCGGCTCTAGATAATTAATGTTTCACAGCACTGTCACCGTTTAGGGGGCTGCTGTTCGTCAGAATGGCACTGAATTGCAATCCACAGCTACAGTAAACCTCAACAGCAATGGCTGAACTCCTGCACAAGACTAATCGGTTATACGTACATACAGAGAGCACAGAGTAGAACTGCAGTGTATAAATAAATCCATTTTCTAACAGCTTTTTCCGATTCATGGTCACAGGGCAGCTGGTGTCTATCCCAGCAAGCAACAAGGCAGGGTACAGCCTGGACAAGACTCCAGTCCATCGCAAGACACACACACACACACCACGGCCAACTTTCCCAGAAGTCCATTCACCTACCAGCATGCCTTAGGAGTGTGGGAGGAAACTAGACCACCCGGAGGAAACCCATACAAACAGGAGGGGAACATGCAAGCTCCACACAGATAGATCCCAGGAATTGAACCCAGGGCCCCAGCACTGCACCACCATTCTGTCTACAACACAGTAATACAATAGATGAAAAATACATTTTTAGTTTTCCACAAGCTTTAAATGATTTAAAACATAATGTTTCCAACAAAGATCCTGTAACCAGAATGAAACATTCCGTTTTTGGAAAACATTCCAATTTCCAAAGAAATCACATTTCAGAAAAATGTCTGAATTTCTACAGATAGAAATAGAATGTTTCTTTCTATAAAGCTAAAGGTCCAAAAAGACCTGAGCCGGATGATTCATCATTAAAACCTCTTGTACAACATAAAACCTCTTTATTTTGCTTAAGTAGAACAAGTTGATTCACCGTAAAAAGGAACTTTGTGACTTTTCTAATTGAAATGTTATTGAATTTTTAATATAAAGATGTACTTCCAGCTTTCATTACAACACACATCCCTTACTTTGTCTTCCTGACAGTGTGGTCTTTGGCTGCACAGGAAATGCAGGAAGCAGAAGACAGACCACCCCGCTCACAGAGTGTGGAGGGTTCGGACCGCGCAGAACGCACAGCACCTGGATCTCCTGCAGGTGAAGAGCTGGGGGACACCAGGCCCGAGGACAACGGGACCTGTCACTGCCACTGTTTGCTGTGGAGTGGCTGCTGGGTTTGATGTTGCAGCTCGAGGACAACAAGGAGGGGTGACAATCGCTGGTTGCCAGGAACCAGGCACTTCCGAGTGCACTGTCAGAGCACAACGCTCGCACCCGTGTCGAAGATGGGACTGGGCCGTACGAAGCATTCCCTGCCCGCCTCCAGATATGCCCAGATATTTCCCGATCAGCACTTGTGATCACTGGTCCCCAGGACAGTGCACTCGTAAGCCCGCTCATATACTGGTGTGTAATTTAACCAGAAACCCATTCAGATGAATCTCACTTTTGCAAGGGAGACCTCTGAGCGGAGATGGGCTGGAAAACCCCAGTCACGGATGGGGAATCTCGATAGTCCAGCTGTTTTAACATGGTTTTGGAGTTGGTGGTTTCCAGTGAAGTTGGGAGCTTCGGCTGTATACGTGAATGACTGTGTTTTCCACAGCTCACAGCTTCTGGGCATCGCCGTGAACTTGTGGTCCAGAGGGAGTCGTGCTGCCATTCCTCCCAGTCCAGCAGGACAACTGGACAGCACACCTGGCTGCTTCAACCACAGCGATGCCAGGACTCTTATTATTATCACTGCATGAAATCTAAACTACTGGAGGCAAGGATCTCCAGATACCTGCAACACTTTATTTTAAGTATATAAACATTGATTTCTCATCACACTCACAAAACACTAACCCTGGTCGTTTTGTTTCTTATGGTAATGATGCTGTTGCTCTGGCAACGTTCTTAATTATTGTGACGGCCCGTTTAAGGAACTCATCTCACCAGCTAAAACCACCGCTGGCAAGCAGGGCGTGAGGCTGGCTGGCTCTGGTGGCCAGCAGTATCGATCGCTGCACAGCTGCTGAGATATTACCACTTCCTTTATCCTCAGTTCACATCGCAGGGACCGCCAGACAGCAGCTAGCCCATTACTGAGGTTTCCACATTCAGACTTTCCAAGTCAATAATCTGTGTCGCACAGTTCATAGCTCCGTTATTGGCACACATGGGGACCTCAGTAGCTCCAGACACAAGTGCCATCTATTTAAATCTAAAAATCTATATACAGCACTGTATAAAGCCTGGCTCACACAGTTAGTCTGCTGTTTATCATGATTAAATACTGTACTATGCATGTGCACCCCATTAAGTTTGGGAACTCCTTTAACTAATTAATCAAATGACAAGTGCAGGGTTCTCGTAATGTATCAAGAGGGTGGTCATCAACTGGACATGACATAAAGTTTTAGCGTGTCCAGCTGCCCGTTTGACACGTTTCATTTGTCAAGTGTCTTGCAGAGAAGGTGCACAAACATTTGACCATGGAAGCAGAAGGTTTTCAAAGCACAACCCAGATAAAATCGAAACTTTGATCTACCCACGTGTCTCAGATTCCACAGCCAGAACTGAGCAGCAGCTGTCCGTTGGGAAAATGAGGTGAACAGACAGCAGAAACACAGCAGACAAGACTCGCTGCCAGGAGAAGGACACGAGACCTGGAATTTAAAGGTGGAGCCCAGCTCTTGCTTTTCCATTGATTTGTCCCTAAATGAAATAACTGCACTTTTCCCGAATGTGATTTCCTTTCTCCACCCGGAACAAAGTTGTGGTGAAGAGCCTGATGCGTGCTGTGGCAGTGTTGACCACATTTCGGTTTGTCATCCCAGCACCTCTGTTATTTCAGTGCCCTTTATTTGAGGGGAAACTATTTTAAGCATGACAGCACATCACAGAACAATCTTGACCCCCGTGAAACAAAACACAAAAACCCTGCATTAATGAGCGCGCAGAAAGAACTGAAGAAATGTGAGAAAATATGAAGCACACAACGGAGCACACTCAAACATTCATCCCTGTTAGCAGCTCCGCTTTGAACTGGAGCTGATGTTTGTGCCATTAGATATGGAAAGCCAGATAATTCCAATGTTTCAATGGCTCCCAACCCTGGGCCTGGAACTCAGGTTCACTGATTTCAGTTTTCTCTTTAGTGTGTATCTGTAAATGTCAAGTGGGATTTGTAGTTGTACCAGGCCTGCCTTCATGCACTGCTGTTGCCTGAAATGTTAACAGATTAGACCACAGAGGAAAATAACGCTCGTTATGGGAAGTGATGTGGTGTCATTGCCACCTGTGTCTGTTCATTAGCAATTGATCAAGCACGTTGAAAGTTGAGGAGACAGTGCTTAAACTTTTGTACAATGAAGGTGCTGGGAGCCGTACACTGGCATATTGTTGGCACTCAGGACTGAGCACAGAAACAAGTTAAATTCAATTTTATACAAGCAAGTGGATCAGATTCAGTCACCTATCGGCACTGGAGATGATGCAGAGCCAGTAGACACAGCAGTCCTCCAGGACCAGGCCACAGGTGGAGACACAGAGACTACAATCACAACCTATCAGGTAGACTTCCTTTCAGTCCCCTTGCTCAGTGTAGGACCTAAACCACTCCAGTGCATGGAGTCAGTGGACTGTGTTTCTCAGGCCAGGAGCACGACGTGGTGAAGCTCTAGATCTCACAGACGGACTGGCCGTCTGTCTACAGTCTCATCTCACACACTCTGGCTCCCAGAGGCTCTCAATTCTGCACTTAAGAGATTTTTATCAGACCAGTGCTGCAGGCCTTTCAGCATTGCTGGATCTGGAAAGGGCTTTAATACTCATTCCCAGACCTGGATGACATACAGATTAGGCAGTTAAAAAAAGCTGCTTTGCAAGACAACTATATCAGTGCTTCATCCACTCTGAGCCCCGTGCTCTTCCTTGAGCTATCCATTGACAATCACAGGCCTCTGGAAGTGATAGGATCTCTGAGCACTGTGGATTTCCGGCTCATTGTAAGACATCTGGAAAGTGCCATCCTGTCCATTCTCTCACAACTGAATTAAACTGGCTGATCTTAAACTGAACAGGAAGTAATTTACAGATAACCTAAAACGAATACTAAATTATGTTAGGCAATGCCAGAATTAAATTAAGACATGTGGAGATGAACTGCAACACGTTCCTGCCAAGGCACACAATGAGCAGGAATTTGCATCATGCATCTATGTCGCTTGTTATTGATTTGCTGTTTCGTTTTTGCTTTCCCTTCTTCCTCTGTGATTCCCGGCAGGAGCTGGCGCCCGAGTGTGGCTTGTGAACCGGAACGGGCGCTTCTGTCCTGGCGCTGCCAACTGGAAAAGCTGTCCTGCACACCTCTGCGGGTCACTGCTGCGGCGCCCCGGCCTCCTCTCCTCTCCGTGTGCAGCTGTTATCTACCCAGATGCCCCCTCGGCAAACCAGAACACATGCCTCCGCGGCGTCTCTCCTGGACCGGCATGAAAGAGCTGAGTTGCAGCATGTCTGGGCCCCCCGGCCCCCCGGCCCCCCGGCTGGGACGAGACGGCCCCGCTGCCAGCCGGACATCGGAGCCGCGGAATGTTGTGGGCTGGCCGGCTGCCTGCTCGCGGGGAGCAGGGACCCCAGCCGGCACGGAACAGAGGGGGTGCGCGGACCTGGGGGGGGGGTCTCAGTCTGCCAGCCCCCACACCCCCCCTGCCAGGAGTAGGGGGTAGAACTCGCGATCGCGCGGCTTCTGTTCTGCACCGTCTCGGGAAAAGCGCGCGGAAAAATAAAAGCCCCGCTCGTGTCCCGATCAAACGCACGCATGAGGGGAGACGTCATTTCTAATCTTTTTTTTTCATTTTTATTCAATTATGATGCCTCGGATATTTTCATTTTCAAGCTCTGTTAAAGTGACACAATTCGAAGAAATACCGTTGGTGACAGATATTCTTACCTCGGCCTTGGGATTTCCACAGACGAGGACAGTTAATGCAGATTCGCTTTGTCTTCTCACAGAATTGTTAAACATCTGAGAGAGCATCGTTTTAAAGCCAAAACACCAACACATCATTTAGATGACATATTAGCAAAATCCAGCATTTCATTGATTCTGTGGGAGACATGCCAATGTAAAGGAGTCTCAATATACACTGAATTCCAAAGGAAGTCCAGCATCCATAGTCAGAAAGCCATTTATACTTGGTAATTAGTGGCAGAATCCCATAGAAACATGCAGACTGCACACAGACAGGTGCCACAGTGCAGAGCCGAATCCAGGACACAAAGGCTGTGAGACATCCACACTAACTGGAATGATATTCCACACATTAATAAAATAAACAGCTGGCGGTAAAGCCTTTAGTTATAGGGGCCCCATTTATTCATTCCTTTTTATAATTGTATAATGTTAGCATGCCCAGAGTGGTTGGGCAGCCAGTTGACCTTGGACCCCTAGAGGTTTTGTTCTCCTTGCTAAGGAGTTTTTGGTGCCTTTCCACTGTTGTCCTTGGGTCTTTTCTGTTCTGTATTCACAACATGTCTGGTCACTTGCTTTGTTAAGCGCCTTGGGGCAACCCTGTTGTGAAAGACGCTATATAAAAATAAATTGAATTGAATTGACTATCCAAGCCCCAGCTAGCACTTCATTTATTCAGGTGTTTATTTTACTGATACTGATATGGATACCTTCTTTCTTCTGAAGGCGCAAATCCTGATTTAAGACAACCATACAGGCCGGTGCACATTGTCAATCTACGGGCCATCCCATTAAAAGTATGGTGTTGATCAGGAAAGGAACTGGAGACTTTGATAGAAATCCTATCAAACACACAGAAACGCGGGAAAGATGCTCTGCTAGCCTGACTCTCAGTCACAGTGGGTCTGACACTCAGCATTAAAAGATATAAAAATATTGAACAGAAGTCTTGAGGTATTCTCCTCACAGGCTGCTCTCTTCTGTGAATGACAGTGATTTGTGATGCTGCAGAGGTGAGCTGGGACAGGTCTCAGAGCAGGACGCCCAGTGTTGAGGGACGCCTGTCTGCCTGTCCGTGGGGTCCTGGTCTCCTGCCTGTGTCCAGACTCTCTGGAGTGTCATTCTTTCAGTACAGCGCTGCTGAAGACAGCAGGCCCTCACTTGTCTGGAGTTTGTGTACTCATGTGCAGGGATGTAGTATTGACTCTCTGGACCCTGACATCCCCATCACCTCAGCCCTGCGTGTTAGCGAGCATGAATGAGCCAGCACAAAGGGCCTCGTCCTGCTGCTGAATTTATTGAGGTTCTCAGACAATTAAGTCACCCAGAGCAGAAGCAGGCATGATCAACCGTAATGACATGCCTGGAAAGAAAGGAACTCAAGTCAGCCGGTAAACACCAGTAAAACTAAGCCTGCACACCAGGAAATTATTTTTAGGCTTGCAAGTGGTGGAAGTCGCAAGGATTTCCGTTTTTTTTTCCCTCACGTTTGTGGCCGCTCATACTCGGAGTTGAGCGACTCCGGACCAGGCGCGTGCGCTGGAGAAGACCCGCCGTCCAGTCTGTGGCAGCGGCTGTGTCAGCCATGATGGCAGCCTGACCTGGGAGCTGCAAAACCACGTCAGGGTCTTCCCGATTGAACTCAAACTCGGCAGATTTCACCAGAAGCCACATTTCTTTCCATCTGAAAAGTTGCTATTATAATTTTTGTTTTCACCCATGTTGAAAAAATACAGCCCATCAGGCTCCCTGCTCTGCAAAAAGCTGTTTGGCCAATTAACTCTAAACTACAACAAGTATAGCTCTAGCGAGGTTGAAAATACAGAAAAAACGTGTTTCTGCGCGATGCTGTTTGACAACCATTTCTTTCTCTTAGTTGTCAACATTTAGTTTGTAACAACAACACCTGCTGTTTAAAAACTGCTTGATCAATTAACTCTAAACAACTGCAATCAAAGCTGGTTTGCCGTGAATGTTCCCTGCTCTCAGGTCAATGCTTGGTGCCAGCTGGCCTTTTACACACACTGTTCCTGTCCATGGAGTGTCTGCCCAGCAGTTACCCTTTCCTGCCCCTCCAGTTAAAATGTGGTGAAATGGGGCTCCATTGTCAGTCACAATGGCCGCCTGGCCGCCATTTTACTACCAAAAGTTTTCAATCAAAATTGACACTTCGGTTGTCTGGCAACTTCTGTACCAGCCAACATGAACACCAAGACCTGCTTCAGAAATGTGCCTCACAGGTGGCAGAGATACGTTTATTCGCCCACACTAGGGCATCACAACCTTGGCAGACAGAACACTCTAGCACTAACTGCCTCTGTTCAACACTGCTTGGCCTGTTAACTCCAAATATGACAGTTATCGTCCTAGTAAGAACTTGACTACAGAGCAGCAAAACAGAGCTCCTGATCAGACTAGAGTGGCCTCCACACTACTATATGTTTCTCTTACTTTATGCATCCTACACTGCAAACTGTTGCTGAGCAATTATTTTTCAAACTTGGCAGGTGTGGCTCAAGTTTCCCCATATCTCACTTGCACTTCACTCAAGACTATTAAAATAAATGGTAGGCTCTTGAGTGTAAGCTTTTAAAACTGCTTTCAGTTCCCTAGCTACATGCAGCTCTTCCAATCTCTCGAAAAGCAAGGCTGCTCTTTGATTTAGAAAGGAGTGCCGCTGCCAGCAGTGAAAGAAACTAACTTTCAATTTCTCGACTGTGCAGACAAAACCCGAGATAAACACGGAGGCTGTTTACTCTCCGCACACACTCTGTAATAAAGTCGCGCCAGTAGCTGTAAGCACAGCCCCATCACCAGACACACTCGGTCTCTAAAAGAAGTCTTGGGATTTCAGGGTCTTGTCCTAACCGGAAACCTGAGCTGCTGGAGCAGAATTAGGACAATCCCCCGGGGGTGGGGGGCCGAGCGGAGCAGCTCAGGTACCGTCGGGGGGGCCGGCCGGGGGGCTCCAGGTTGTGTTGTGCAGGAGGACACTTCTGGCCCTGATCAAGCGAAGCAGAAGAGAGCCGATGAGCCCAGGTCTCCACTACAGAGGTTTTCCTTTTCAAGTCGTCCCCGGCCCCCCGGCCGGCCCTCTCCCTGTTCCAACACCGTCCCCCCAGACCCCCTCGGCCCCGGAGCTGGGGCTGTGGAGGCAGCTGCTCCAGCCCTCTCCTCTCCAGCCTTTTTTTTCCCTCATTTTAAAAGCATTAAAATTACGTTACAATTTTACAGAGCGCTAAAAAATGGCAGGAGTGATTATCAGTTTTCCAAGCAGTGGAAGCCTCCAGTAGTTCTAACAGTAGGGCTTGTTTCTCATTCTTGCAGGCCGTCCTCGATGTGCAGGGCAGATGTGTTCCTGAAATGTGACGCGAAAATGAAGAACAAAAAATGTGTTCCCAATCCGCCCCCAGCCAGAGGCCTGAACCCCCAAATACAATAATTACACAGGTACAGCGCATTCATTACACAGGTACTGTACAGAATATTCATTGCACACTTACTGTATATTCAATACACAGGTACTGTACAGTATATTCATCACACAGGTACAGTATATTCATTACACAGGTACTGTACAGTATATTCATCACACACGTACTGTAGAGAATATATATTACACAGGTGTGTATATTCATCACACATGTACTGTATTACACAGGTGTATATATTCATCACACATGTACTGTAGGGAATATTCATTATACACTCTGTTATTAATTACACAAGTACTGTACAATATATTCATAACACAGGTACGGCACAGTATGTTCATTACACAGGTACAGTATATTCAGTACAGACGTGTTGTATATTCTTGTGAGATGTTTACATAGTTATACTACACATCACTGTAGCCTAGATGTGAGTTAATGCTCTCCAGCCTGATGTGACTCGTGAGGGGAAGAGTGTTGCTGGAGGAGGGTCGTGTGCCCACAGACTCATCTGAACTGCACAGCTCTCTTCACTATTTTTACCGTGAGACTTTAAATCACCTTTTATTTCAAAGTCCTGTAAATACACCCATAATTGTAGACTGCTTTGAGCATGTTATTTACTGAATTTCATTTCTAAATGATTTGCATTGAATTTCCTTTTTTAAAGATAGAGTTTTTTTTTTCACACAGTAGTAACACAGGTGTTGAGATATCTTGCATCACAGACATGATAACATTTGATTTTCTCTGTGCATCTGCGTTAAAGAGGTCGGTCCTGGACTATAGTTCATACCTTTGACTGCGACACATGACGTTGTGGCCCCCAGCATAAAATCAAGACCAGCATACAGCATAAAATCAGATCTTGACCACACTTTTGTTTTCACACCCTGTGGTGCTTTTGTATAATGGAAGTCTCGGCTTGTACTGCCTGGCAAAGACACCAATATAGCAAAATGAATAGGTAATAGGTTTATTCCATGCTGAAAAGAGAAGAGAGAAAACTCAACATTTCGGGTGTGAAGGCTTTTCAGGTGTGAGAAAGACAGGGCAGACAGCAGAGATTAAATAGCACAGAAAAACAAAAGCTGGGAGAGGGGAGGAGGCAGGAGGGGCAGAGAGGTCACTCAGGAAGTGCAAAGTGCAGAGGGGTGAAGAAAGGTCTTAAGTCAAAACCTGCATGAGAATAGAGAAGATTACATGAAAACAAGTCTGTCGTTGAGAGAAGGGGGATGGTGTGAACCTAGTTTCAGGATGAGTTTCGTTTCTGTTGTCTTTCTGCTGTGGGAGTTGAGAAACCCTTCTTTGGGAACAGAGACAGAGAGACCGGTGTGATCATGGTCATCTGAGGTGAAATGAGAAACAATGGGCTTGGAGAAATCTTTCATCTTCACAGGCCTAACATGTTCTCTGAAGAGGTCTCCTCCTAGTCTCCTTCCAGTTTCCCAAACGTAGATAGCTGGGAATTTTTTGCAGGAGATACAGTAAATGAGAATGTTGTCTGAGTGATCCGGAATTGACCTGAGGGGCCCTGAATGAGTGTGGTGTTAGATATATATTTGCAGATGATGCAGCAAAGTACCTGGTGGGGATGATTGTTGAGGGCGGTCAAGGGAGCTGTGAACCAGACGTTTACATAGACTGGGTGGTCAGCGGTAAGAGATGATTGGGCGGTTAGAAAAAAGGGAACCGATGGAGGGATGGAGTAGTAGAATGGAGTGGATTTTAATAACGGTCTTGGGGATAGAAAGTGTGCAAGAGTGGTAGGGAAGAACCAAAGGAATGCGGTTGTGAGACTGGGAATTCCTGGTCAAGTTGATGATCCGAGGGCTGTTTTTGCAGACTTACGTATGCTGACGCAGCTACCCACCCGAACTACTAGCAAAATGAATTAGTTCATTCCACTAGTTAAAAAGACAAGGTTCAATAAAAATACTTTGGAAAATATACCAGAAGGCAACTGCAATCTCATGATAAGCAGGAAAGACTAACGTGAAAAACTACTGCTGGAAAAACTTCATCCAACAGGACTCAGCTCAGCTTGACAGCAGCAGGACTATCTGCAGTGTGTTTCAGTGAGGAGGGCGTGCGAGTGCTGTGCAGGTAACCGGGGTAAACCAGGGGTGTCAGTGCTTCTGAGGCAGGGTCAGTTTCTTCGCCCAGAGCTCA